AGGGGCGTAACATTTCCGTCACATGCTTGAGGTATTCGGCCAATCACAACGCACTGAATAGCTGGCAATCACAGCACACCTCGCTTTTTCAGACCGCTGAGCTTTGTAAAAATCTACGCATTTCAAAAAAGCGGGCCATAGAGGAGAAACAATAATGTACAGTATGTGGAAAATAATGTGTTTTTTGAACTTTAAACCGCATAAACACATTTCATTACACCAAATACTCAAAATAATGTTCTTTTTAGCAGCATCATATGACCCCTTTAAAAAAAAAAAAACACTACCGAAACCGAGTCAGATATGCAAAAAAAGCGTGAAAAAAAGACTTATCTAGTTGTCTTTTGTTGAGGGAATCTCTCAATTGCTTCCGCAGAAAATCTTGTTCCTTTTTCAGGAGTCTATTTTCTTCTTTCAGTTTTTCAATTGTCGCAACTGCCGTTGGTGCAACTTGTGGTGGACCAGAGACAGGAGGTGGCACTGAGACAGTAACACCTACTGTAGATTTACAGTAATGACAAAACATTTATCTGGTCATTCTAGAGATCTCAAAGTTGAGTAAATCTGCATTATTCTTACTTAACGCCAATATGGAAGGCACATTAATAAGCAACTAGTGTTTACACCACTGTACTGTATATAGTCAAGTACAAGTAAACAGTTATGAAGGTGAATGTCATGATTAACTGCTATTAGTGAATATGTTCATAAATTTAACAGACTTGTTCAGCTGAATAATGGAAAGAATTTATTTATGGCTTGGAAAAAAAACAAAACTGTTACCTTCATCAACACCACCACCTTGGTTTTTCCCCTGCTTTGTGTTCTGCATACTATTACAAATGTTAACATTAAAACATATAGCAACAGCATAGACAACATACAACCATGGGTATTGTCACGGGTCGTGGTGCGGAGGAAGCACGCGGAGAGGAAGTCATCCACGATAGAGTCTTTAATTAACTTTAACACAAGACCAGGGAACAGGAAAACACAGGGTATATAAACACGTGGGGCCTCATTCATGAAACATTCGTAAATATAGGAGTAAATTCAGAGTAATTTGCACGAAAAACGCTTGTGAACGAAAAATTCACAAACGCTTTGTACACATCAGATTTGATAGTTAAACATGTGTATGTTAATGAATTCCAATCATTCGTAAATAAGGCGCTCGTGCACGCTCATTCGCAATTAACATAATCCCTGCCTATGAATTACAGCTACGTAAATTGCGTGTCCAGGAGAATATTCTGGTCTACTTTCTCAGGTTTGGCTCCAGTATATTGCATAAATGCTAAAAACACTAACAGGCCATATGCCTAACAATAAATATTCAATAACGTGTGTCCACCAAAGCGTTTTTAGCCAGCTGAAAAACTGTCAGGCGCTCTTCTTAAAACGGTCAGCTGGTGGTGCTGGAGGACGCTTTGGTGGCACAGCGTTCCCTTTCAAGGGAACTTCGAATTGCGTCCTCTAGGGGGCGCTATGGGGAACGCCTCATCGTGACCCATGTTTGAAGCATACATTGAAAAAACACCAACAACACGTTGGCCGGCGACAGCCCATGACGTCACTACCGTTGCGACTATTAGTATATAAATAGGCGCCGGGAGAACATGTCATTCTCTTCTTCGTCTTCACCGACTGATTTGTTTGAAGTGTGTATTTCCGTGGTAAGAGCGATCTCTTTCATTCATTATGGCGAGCACTAGCAAAGCATTTAGAAGATGTGTGCATCCGTGTCATCGCTATTTGACACCCGATGACACACACAATCAATACGTTGTTTGTTTGGGCGAAGAGCATGCACGCGATGTCTCCGAGGGGGCAATCGGTGTGCACTGAGAACGTTTTTTCAGAGGAAAAAAGCTCCGCTCTCGTTTGTCTCTCTTTTCGAGGAAAGAGGGGCAGCCATCTGCTTCCCGCGATTCAGGACCCGCCGCTGCTGAGGCACGGAAGGGAATGAGCTCGTGGGGATCGCAGGTGGATCTGGCCGATGAGTTTGAAGAGGGGTTTTTCCCTCTCACGATCGTCGGCTGTGGACGAGAGTGAGCCACTGGAGGATGATGTTATTTCATTAACATTTTCTGATCCAGCGGCCTGGGTTCAGCCCAGAAAAAGCAGGAAATGTCTGAGGAGGGCAAAAAAGCTGAGGCTGAGCCTTCCCAATCCTCCTTCCCTGCGTATGATGAGCTTTTGAAAATTATGGATCACGCCACGGTGAGGCTTTACTTGCCGTGAAGCGGGCGAAGAAAGTGATGTTGCGAGGTGTCTCGATGAACGTTATTTTTCTGGCCATAACCCTCCAGCTCAGGTGAGCCTTCCTTTCTTCCTGTTTTCCATACAGAGATTGAGAAGGAATGGAAGAGGCCATTTTTGCTCACGCATCGATTCCAGCATACAAATTATGCCAACATCGAGGCGATGCGCGAAAGTGGTTATGAGAAGATGCCCCTATAGGGTGAGGCTGGCCAGCTATCTCTCAATGGGTGAGACGTCCTCTTTTAAGACTCCCTCCTTGACATCTCGCTCGGATGCCAGGGCATACGCAGCAGCAGCAGGTCGGGCTGTCGCTTCATTGCACACGATGGTGATGCTCCAAGCATATCAGGCTGACCTGCTGAAAGACCTGGATAAAGGCGAGGGCCTTTCTCCTGATGAGGTAGCTGAGTGCACCGCACCATGGATCTCGCTCTCCGTGCTACTAAGCGGGCTGCCTTTGCTATTGACAGGTCCATGGCGGCTATGGTAGTGACAAAGGGACATCTGTGGGTAAACCTAGAAGATATCGGGAAAGGAAGAGAGGGGCTTGCTTCTCGATGCGCCGGTTTCGCCTTCCGTATCTTTTGTACCTCCGTTGAGACGGTGGTCAAGAAGTTCAGGGAGGCAAAGGTGTGCTCAGCGGCCTTCACAAAAGTCCAGGTCTGAGCCTGAACAACCCAGGGGTCCTGGCCTGTCTCGGTTTGAGGATCAGAGACGGGCACAGAAGGCTAGTGTCGCGGCTCGCGCTCCTCCCCCGCCTGCGGGTAGGGGTAGGA